GACAAAATACCTAGACTCAAAAGTAGAGATAGTACGTAAGAGACCCCAAACATTGGAGTGAACTAAAGCAAAAAGGAATGAAAATCGTTTATTGACTCAATTGAGAAATTGACTACAAGTTTGTTTCCCTAATTGACACAAATCACAATCTAAATTAAATACCTTCAATAAACTAGGCACCAACTTCTGTAGTTTGGGAAAATTGGGATGACCTAACTGAGCATGGATAATGAGTAGAGAATATTTCATTGAGTATGGCTGAGATGACACTGAGAGATAGTAAAGGTCTTGAGACTAGCATCCGACGCCAATCATCCGACCTGAACTTCGATCCTACAGGGTAACATTATTGTTAATGAATGTGATAATATAATCAAGATAACCAGTTAAATGAATGATTGAGAGTAAATTAAATGGAAAATTAGGTACATATAGAATAGAAGTAACTGAGAGAGAAGGTAGAACTTGAACAGTACCAATTCCTTTGGATCGGGTTTTAGAACCATTGGCAGAAGTTATAGTAGATAAGAAAACAAAGGTAGAGAGAGAGAAGAGAAAATATTTGTATTACCAGTAACATGATCAGATGCATCAAAATTAAGGACCCAAGGTCTAAGAGAATATGATTGAGAGAGACAAACAGATGAACACTAGTGTGTGAAACCAAAGAAGTAGAATTTGAGTTCTGATAATTTTGATACCACCTAAAGAAATCCTTTTAGTTTGGCATAAAGTTCTAAGGAGTAGTCATGAGTATCTGAAGAGAGAAAATATCACACAAATCGGGTGAAAAGGCAGTGTTTGAACTAGATCACAATTTTTCGTGATTGGAAAATAAAAATCTGAGGTCGGATCTGAAAAAAGGGAAGGAAGACGAGTGGGGAGGTGGAAAAGTCGTCAAGATCGGCCGCTAGACGTGGCATCACATGCGGTTTAGGCGGAGGCACGTGAGGCCTACGCGTGGTGTAACGCCCATTTTAATTGTTTTTGGTTTCTGGAGTTATTTTATTCGTCAACGTGTTTTGTGTGGAATTGATGAAGAAATAAGGGCATAGTATTAATATTAGATCATTGATAATGATAATAATTAATAATTAATATTAATGTTGATATTATTATTATTATTATTATTATTATTATTATCATTATTATTAATAATATTAATATTATGAGGTGTTAATGTTATTTTGGAATTAAAAAGGTGAATTATTGAGATTTTTGGAATAAAAGAATTATGAGTAATATTGTTATTGGGAATAAAAGAAAATAAAAGAGTATTTTTGGGATGAAGGGCATGTTGGGCATTTAAAAAGAGGGAGAGAACAAGAACACGGTGGGAAAGAAGGAGAACACGGTGAAGGAGGTGGAAGCAACCAAGAGCAAGCTTGAGCAAGGAGATAATCAAGACTATCAATTCGTGTGGATTCTTGAAGTGCAACATCATCAAACTGCTTATTAAGGTAAGGGGGGGGGGGGGTTTACGGTTGTTTCGGCCTTGCATGATAATCGGTAGATATTGGGAAAAATCCCTAACTCCATAGAATTGCTAATGTTTGATACTGATTTTGTGTTGTGATTGTTGTAAATGTTGAATTGGATGTTGTTGATTCGTGCATGTGCTGGAATGTGGTTTTGTGCGAGTTTCGGAACATTTCGGTAGAACTTCGGAGTTGAATCGGAAGTTGGTTCGGAGAGTAGAGTAGGGGATTAATCGGAATAGAATCGGAGATTGATCAGTATTGTAGTAGTAGTACGTTGCATGTTATTGGGTAACAATTTAATCGGGCGAAATCGAAAGTGGGGAACGATTCTGAAGTGCAGAATGCGCTGAATTCTACAGCATTCGCCAGCCTTCGCTGGGCGAATGGAAGCGAGGCTTCGCTAGGATTCGCCAGACGAGTGTTCGCTGGGGGCCCTCGCCAGGCGAGTGTGCCAGCGAACCAGACAGCAAAACTGTATTTTGTTGTTGTTTTAGTGTGGTTCCTTCGCGAACTTCGACCCTTGCTGGTCATATGCAATGGAAGGCTCGTTGGGAAGCTAACACGAGCATGTGTGAGAGGTTGTGGGGCTGTTGAGCCGGTGTTAACGTCCGTGGCCAAATCGGCGGATTATGCGTTATGTGTGAACCGGTGCAGATATTACACATAGTTGAATGTGTGCACGGTGTAAGTGTGCTGAGTGTGAGAGGTGAAGATCAGTATGATCGTAGCGCTTTATGTGCATGGTAATTAATGAATTGTGCGGTGAGCGGATCCGTGGGATCGTTGCACTGTGTGTGCTTGCTGTGAGGCGAGCTATGGATCAATATGATCCAGGTGCACTTGGTGTGCTAGTTGTTTAATGCGTTGTGCTCCTGGTGAGGAGGGTGATGGCCATGTGTCCATCGTACGTTTATGCGTTGTGCTCCCGGTGAGGAGGGTGATGGCCATGTGTCCATCGACGTTAATTGTTGTGCTCCCGTAGCGGAGGGTGATGGCCAGTTGTCCATCGGTATTATTATAGCGCTTCCATTGTGGAGGGTTGATGGCCAGTTGCCCATCGGCGTGGTGTGCTCCCTGAGTGGAGGGTTGATAGCCAGTTGCCCATCGTATATTTGGTACTCCTGAGTGGAGGGTTGATGGCCAGGTGCCCATCATGTTTGTGATTCGGTGTTGTATATTGGGGATGGTGTGAGTGCACGTGTAGCACGATTGTGAATGGTAGATGAGGGTGGGGCCGAGAGCCCGGATGATGCGTGTATGAAATAATATTATTATTGATTCTGCTTTTATTTCATGCATTTATATGCCATTATTAATTGATCGTAAATCTCACCCTTTGTTGTTGTTGTTATGGTCTGTGCTTCTTCGGAAGTGCAGATAATTCAGGTGATAGCTAGATGGATGTTTGGTGTCTCGTAGGACTGCTCTGATACGTAACACCGGGGCGTTTTGGGAGTTTTTCGGTTATTACTGTTACGTGTGCCCCAGTGGCGTATCTTTCTTTTGTGTATATGTGAAGATGCATGACGGATATACATGCTTTTGGGTAGATGGCCAATTTTTGTATAGATGATGATGTGTATATATATATATATATATATATATATATATATATATATATATATATATATATATATATATATATATATATATATATATATATATATATATATATATATATATATATATATATATATATATATATATATATATATATATATATATATATATGTTATGTGGTATATGGCTGACTATTCTTATTTACCGCTGCAATATATATTTGAACAATTCTATTTTGAAAATTGATATGTGGAATTTTGTGGTGAATTGTGACATCCCGTACGCGGGAGAAACTCTGATATGTATTTCTTTTAATTATTTTATTTTATCTTGGAAAACGGGGTGTTACACGTGGAGATAGGGGTGGCGCGTGTGCATGCTTCTGACCGTGAAAATTTGGGGGATAGCCATATCAGAGGAGGCGCTTCTGCCGGTAGTGTTGGTTTTTCGAAAGGTCGCTGAAAACAGTAGTAGTGGTGGCGACAATGTAGTGGTGGTCGGAAAATTAATGCCAAACAGAGTCACAACAATGAAAGAAAGGCAAATCAGAGTTGGGAAATGATTTGCCGGAAAAAATCTAGTGTTGAAAGACAGTGAGTCAACCGGGAAGAGCACGGTGAAAAGTTGTCTCTCAATAGGCTCTGGATACTGTATTGAAATAAGAGAGAATGATAGACATTTTAATAAACTGTGTGTTAAAATAGCACCACGATGACTTTTTTATATAAAGAGAGAGAGCTTTACAGCTAATTACGTTCTATAGTCTTTGTGGGACTTTTCTATATACAAATATTCTTAACAATATTAGTAATGGAATAGTGCAAGTGTTATGACATATTAGTAATAGTGAAGATGCAAATATATTACCGTAAGAAGCGTACAACTTCTTGTCAATTGTCTTGTATTCCAAAGACAATTTTCACCTAGCCTCGAGTACAGATAAACCAAACATGCGGCCACCCAGTTGTACTCGTGGATCCATTCTAAGTCGATGAACTATGTCAGATAGACTACATCGACGTAGGTTTCACTTTTGTTCACAAATATGGTCGTGTCAACAAAGTACATGAGGTATAACCTTTATGCACATTGTTGTGGTACACAACATGTCCATCATCATTTTTGGCCTCCACAGCCGCAACCAGGTGGTATTTGTGCAACTTCTTCATATATGAAAATCTAGCATGCATGTCTCTTGTGGCATTAATCTCTATATGGACTTCACCTGGGTCAGTTTCAAATACATCACCATCATGTCCAGTGCCTCAAATCTAAAGATTATGGAGTCGTTTAGTAATATTCCCCTAATCGGAAGATGAGAGAGGCACGATACGTCATCAATGGTGTTGGACATCCACCAATAGGAATATGAAAATGTGGTGTATCCTTGTGCTCTCTCCACAAAAGTCACCAACATGTCATAGTTAATGGTCTTGTACCCAGTCACACATAAACCTTGCATCCCAGATAGTTTCAATACATCATAAAATCGTGGTTTATCAGGAATGGGATCAGTAGCAACAAGTTTCTCCATTAGGCTTCAGAGGCTTCGTGGGAAGTAGGGGAAATGTGCATCCTTGAAGACGACGCCAGAGACACATGAGTTCTGAAAGACGACGCTTCCTAATCAAATAAAGTTGTGCCAACTAGTAGTCACGATGGTCTAACCCTCTCCCCCGCGAACTGATTGGGTCACTCGATTGTGCCTTAATCTGTTCGGGATTTTCGACAATTGTACTTATAATAAAACTAGAAAATCATATCATAGACAAACAAGTCAAAACTAGATGACATACATGAAAATTCAAACTAGTTTATGTGTGCTTTGATTATCATTTGATCCTATATTTAGGGTTTAGATTATAACAAAAATTTTGTGAATTTCGTGATCAACTAGTCTATTATAAATTTATCGTGTTTGTTGTGAACAAGTATCTACGGAAGCAATCGATTTGCATGATGACGGAAGTAGAGTGTGCTGAGTTACCGCAGGAAATCATTGAATCAATTTCCGAAAGGCTCACAATCTACTCTGACTATCTTCGATTTCGGTGTGTCTGTCGCACCTGGAATTACTCTGTACCCAAAACCCCTCTCCATCTACCACCTCAACTCCCATGGCTCATGCTTTCTCATAAATCCTTCTTCGACCTCACCGCCAACAAACTCCACCTCCTCGATCTCCCTCTATCTTCTTCTCACGCCACTCGTATCTGCGGTTCTTCTTTTGGCTGGCTCGTCATTCTTAACCAAATTTCTGAAGTTAGTCTTCTTAACCCTATAACACACATCACACTTTCTCTTCCTTCTCTCTACACTTTGCCAGAGTTTGTTAGAAAGCATTTGGATAATAATAACAACCGTTTCGTTAACAAAGTTGTCTTGTCGTCTAGCCCTTCGCATGGCGACGACTTTGCTGCATTCGCCATTCTTAATCCTAATCAGTTAGCATTCTGTAGAAAAAGCTATGATTCTTGGGTTCTTTTAAGAGTGAATGAAAATCACCTATGGATGGACGTTGTATCCAAAAACGGTTTGTTTTATGCTGTGAGCTCAGAAGGAATGATAGCGAAGTGTGATGTTGAAAGTTCTCATGTCTCCATTATTAAGACGACAGACTCTATCAGTTTATGGAATGCAATTTACTATGTTGTGTTTTCCGGAGAGGACATGTTGTTAGTTTATAGGTATTTACAAAAGGAAAATGTATCTCAAACAGAAAGGTTTAGAATTTTAAAGCTGAATTGGAATGTGCTAAAGTGGGAAGAAATTCATACTTTGGGCGAAAACACGTTGTTTGTAGGGCAAAAGTCTTGTGTTTCTTTTTGTGCTGCTGATTTTGTTGGATGTCGTCCAAATTGTATCTATTTTGTTAGGAAAGATGACATTAGCGTCTTTAGTTTATCAGATAAGAGCATTGCGTTATTACCCCATTATCCACTGAACTTAGATCGTCAGTTGGGATGTTCAATTTGGATTACACCAAATCTGCAATGACCTACAATTGTATCTGGCATTCGATTGCGGATTGTGTGAGAATCACGTGGATGAAAGATTTGAGTGTTTTGGACGCTTCCTATAATGGTTTTTCAAACTGGTGAAAAAAACCTCTAAAGAGTTCGCATGTATCATTTGGTTGGTGATGTCTTGGACGATTTGGTGGACTCAGAACCAAATCATATTCAATGATATGATTGGTAAAAATTGAAGACATCCCGCTTCGAGTCATCCACACATCTTTAACTGGGGTATATAATTGGACTTTCTCCTTTTTGTAGTTTTTATAATTGGTATAAATCTCCACTAAATTTTTTGGTTTAGGAATTATATAATACATGGTGTTCCCTACCGTTTGTGGTGGTGATATGGGCGTTGATCCCAAATTTATGTAGAAGGATTTGTGTACTCCTAGTATGCTATTAAATGAAATTATTGTTTATCAAAAATAAAAGCTTTTAGTGTTATTATTCAAACAAACTTCATAAACTTTTTATTCAAACAAACTTCATAAACTTTTTATTCAACAAGTAAAATGTTTAAATTCAATTCAATGTCTTTTAGTACACTACTAGAAAAAGGATCTTTACTAAGTAACAAGTTAAATTTTAAAATAGAACTTTAAAGTTAATATTTTTTTTAATTGTAATCATATATTATTATAACATTATTTAAATAATACGAGAAATTATTTTGATTTATTTTATAAAATTTTCTATCATAATCTATATTGTAAGTGTTAATTGAAAAATATATGTTTGTCGGTATATCTTATAATAGTATTTAATTAAATTCATTTATATCTAACCACACTAACCAAAAAAAAAACATTATACTCCCTCCATTACATTGCTATTTATAATTTTTTTTAATAATTTATATTCATTAAATAATATATATATATATATATATATATATATATATATATATATATATATATATATATATATATATATATATATATATATATATATATATATATATATATATATATATATATATATATATATATATATATATATATATATATATATATATATATATATATATATATATATTCCAAATAAATCATTTATGGAATAAACTTAAAAAGTCAAAATTTATTTATAAAAAAGAATGGAGGGAGTGTGTGCTTGCTAAAAGTACAAATATGTGACATTCGTATACTGGTAGCGGTGACCAGACTCTTTAGGAATTTTCTGTAATTTAGGGTTTGTCAAAGTCGTGAGAAAATCTTGTTTGATGGTGTTTTTGGTTATGGTAAGAGCGTGGTCGTCTCAATTAATATTGAGGCCTAAAGAAAACTTTAAATAAATCTTGTTTGAAAAACTTTTTGGGTTAAAATCAGAGTTCAAAATTTTTTAAGAAAAATTTTAGAGTTATGCAACGAAAAAAAATGTAGAGGATAAAATGCAAAAAATAAAAAGTTCAGGGAAGAGAGAAGGCACCAGCAATTATTAAGGTTCAATCAAAAGTGAAAAAACCTACTTTTCTCCCCAAAAATTGTTCTTGAGAGTAACCAATAAACTTAAGAATTTTAGTAGGTTGTACTATCTAACCCCCTTATATAAGAAAAATGAAGTTTGTGGCTAACTTCCAACAAAACAACAAACACATGAGAGAAGCGATGAGTCTTCCTTTCAAATGATGGGTCAAAGTTGTTAGTCTCCTTTCCTTAGGATACTTAGAGCGGTTAGTTTTCTACCTTCAAACAAACCTTGAGATATTTTAACACCGGGATGAGCTTATGAACCTAAGCATAGTTTTATATCGGGCTAACCAAGAACCTGTGAGATTTTACCACCAGGTTGATCACGAACTGAGACCATCTTTTAACATCGAACTGAGCTTTAATCGAAACTTGGTTTTACTGTGGGCTAACCAAGAAGCTATGAGATTTTATCACACGGTGATCTCAAACCTTGAAAGCTTTTAAATTGGCTGAACTTTCAAACCTAAACAGAGACTTGATCACACAATCCTCAGGCCAAATCTTTTTATGGGTTAAGTTATGAACCTAAACAAACAATCCCTAAGTGGACAAAATGTTCAAACAAGAAAAAAAAACTTCCTCGGAGAACTTACAAAACTACTCTTCTAGAATTACATCTTCCTCACTCGCAAATTGACTTTCTTGAAAAGCACTTCGATTAAAACTTTAGTGAGAGAAAATAAACAAAAAGAATTTTTAGAGAGAGAGAGTAAGAAGTGTGAAATGAAATTGTTTTTTTGGATGATTTTAAATGTGTGAAAGGTCTATTTATAAGCTAGAGGTGGGAAAAAGAAAAAGGAAGAAAAAAAATAAAATCAATAATAATGTGTCAATCGATTGACATCATGTCTCTATCGATTGGTAAGCATGAGTTAATTAATTAGTAAGCTAAAAAAGTTAAGAAAAGATATTTAGCCATTGCTAGTGATTAAGGTGTTGTCCTAATCGATTAGAGCGTATTTTTTTAACATCTCCAATCGATTTCCATAAGGCGTCAATCGATTAGAAAAAGCAAAATTTTGCCCATATCTTTTATGAATGTTCCTAACTTACATGACATGACTTTAAGGAATTTCTAGAAATGTTTTCTTGAGAAAAAAGTTTGAAAACATGTTTGTGTGTGTGTGTGATTTAGCCATGCACTTTTATGAAAAATTCTCTGTGCTTTTACAATGTATTCACTAAGACGTGTCGAGGCAGACATTCATATTCTTTAAAACTTGACATATGCTTCATCCTTACAAACACTTTTTGGAGTTTACTTTCAGATAAGGCTTAAGTTATATTCCATTTGGTTTCCATCATTAGAGAGTCAAGTTCATCAAACCCTAATATCCTAGTTTGCATCTTTAACCTCTTAACTGTTTTATGCTTGACTTTAGTTGTTTTCATTATCAAGGGAATACCCATCTTTAATAGTTGTCATCATCAAAAGCATGTTATATGACCTGCAAAACAAGGTTCCACAATATATGCATTTGCAAAAGAATCAATATTTTTAAATAATTAAGTATGTCAATTGATTTATCAATTTCAACACGTATAATTTCTTGTAAGATATTGAGTTATGTAAATATATTTAATTCATCAATATCTGAGTTTTCATTATATTTCAATAAACGTTCAACATTAAGACAATATTATTTTAAATTTTCATTATCTAATGACCTTATTTTCTCAATGCTAAAAAGAAATCCAAAAATATCATCATAGAATTTAAATTGTTCAAACCTAGTTTAAAAAATTAAAATTTTGAGGCCTAAAGCGAGTGCTTTATTGGCCTAAGGGTTTAGACGACCCTAGGTAAAACCAAGCTCACGTGAGGTGAGGGACTCTATATTTTCAATAGTATTTTGTGTGTATCAGAGTTGTCCTTCCCCATGATAGGGATGAAATATTTATAGAGACTTAGGGTCTTGGATTTTGGATATTCCTAGGATGTAGTAACAATTTCACTGACTAGGGGAGCTATTGAATACCTATTCTTTAGGAATCGTGACCAAGACCTCATGCAGATGCGATTATAGGTAATGCACACATGACCCCCATGTTCTCCATCAGGGAGAGTAGCCAGCAGATTGAAGGTTATGTTTAGGCACTATAATTTAAGGTGAATGCCTCATGGTATTTGGTCTTATATCGCCTTGTCATGGGCCTTTACAAATATATCACTATAGAGTCCTTTAAGCACGATGGCTTTATAAAAGGTGAAGTGTTTTATATTCATCATTCCTTTCTATTAAATCTCTTAATTGAGGGGAAGTAATCAATTATGGGAGAGTTCCTTACTTATAGTCATCATTTAACAGTGATTCCTTTAGTTATAGTCATCAGTTATAGACGAAACCCTTTGTTAGGGGCGAGTTCCTCAGTTAGGGGCGAGTCCCTTAGTAAGGGGTGAGTCATTGTCCCCTTGCCACTTGCTTTTTGAGTAGATTGTGTGTCAGTTGAGGGGTGTTAAATAATAATCAAATGATTTGGAAAAGTTAAAACATTGGTTAGTTATAAAAGTTTGATCATATAGTGGGAAAGGGACGTGCGTAACATTTAATGCTATGCATAATGACTTTCCTAAGGAAACCCAATCTAGTTTCTTTCCATACATGTTTCATAAACATGTTGAGCCCATCCCACTTCCTGCAATAGTTGTACTATTGGGCATGTATGTTGCTTATGTTATTGGTTAATCAAAGAAGATTCATAAGCATAATAGAGTTTCTTTAAATTTGGATAGATGGAGATTGCAGGATTCATTAGTTCTTCATGGATCTAAGCACTACAATTTCAAACTCATTCCCTCCCATTTGGAATTCATGGCCATAAAGAAAGTTAAAGGTGTGCATGTTTGACACATCGTGTCTCTTTTGACAAGTTAAAAACTGTTTAGGTTCCATAAAATGAAATCAGAGATTTTAAGAAGCACGAAAGCAAAATACAAAACCAGAGAGCTTGAAAGCATAAAGCATACACTATTGTAAAGGCCTAAAGTACGAAGACAAGTTTCATCAGCATGCCTTGTAGAAGTTGTCGCGGCCGGAAAATTGATAGAATCACCATCATCCTTTATTCGTCCCTGAGGAACGGGGAAATAATGATAAAACCTAAAAACTAAGGGTGAGAGACACTAGTAGAAAACTTTATTTTAGCTGCGAATTTAGCCTCGGGCACCGACGCCGAGGCTAACTAGCCTTGACAAAACCCAAGCTATTCAAACGCAAAAAAAAAAACCATTTTAAAATTACCTTTTACAATTATTTTTATTTAATTCATTAGACATGGCTAGGCCGAGGCTAGATATTTTTTAATTTTTGAATTATTATTTTTAAATATTAGACACGGATGAGCCGAGGCTAACTATTTTAAGTTGCGAATTTAGCCTCGGCCACCGACACCGAGGCTAACTAGCCTTGACAATACCAAGGCTATTCAAACGCAAAAAAAAAACCATTTAAAAATTTTTCTTTTACAATTATTTTTATTTAATTCATTAGACATGGCTAGGCCGAGG